CCTGAGATTATGCCGCACGCCTTTGCATATCAGGACGATATTATCGTCATCGGATGGACGCTGGAGGAGGCAATACTTGGGAGTGGCATCGTGGTACCGACGCTTCGTACCCGACTTCGCCACGCTAGTCCAGCCACTAAATGCCCTACTTCGGAAAAAGGTGAAATGGGAATGGACCGATGTCCACCAGAAGGCATTCGAGGCAGTCAAGGCCAGGCTGGTCGCAGACCCACTCCTGGCATGCCCGGACTTCACGAAGACAATCGTCCTGCAGACAGACGCCAGCGACTACGGGCTTGGAGCCATACTCACCCAATGGGCCATAAGGCCCATTCTGGAGGGATATCATTTCAAAGCCATCACAGATCATATGGCACTGAAATGGCTCAACAGTATCGAGAGCCCGTCAGGAAGGATTAAGAGATGGGCGCTGGAACTCCAGCAGTATTTTTTTTTTTTTTTTTTTTGAGCTTTATTTTTATTTATTGAATCTTCTCTTGAAGAGGCTTACAATAAGAATTCAGATCTTAACCTATACTATGTATAATGTATATTATTTATTATTATTTATTTGTTATATTATGATTATAAATTGGTCGACAGCCCTCAATTGGGCAGGAGTGGGCGATCGTTGCGCTGTAGACGAGAGTGGCTCCTGAGCCGCCTGAGCTGCCTGGCTAGTTGGTTTGGATGTATTGATAATCTATTTTCGTATTTCAAAACTTTACTATCAATTTCTTCTTTAACGGGTTTTATATCCAGGTCCCTATGGATGTTTGCGTTGCGAATATACCAGGGGGCCCCGTTATTGTTCGCAGTATCTTCGACTGCACACGTTGGATGATTTCTATGTTGCTTCTGCTTGCGTTCCCCCAAAGTTCAGACCCGTACGTCCAGGTTGGCTTTAGACATGAGTTATATAGCAGAACTTTGTATTCCAGCGGAAGAGGTGAGCGAGGGTTGATGAGCCAGTGGAAACTATTGGCCTTGGGTTTTAGGGAGGTCTTCTTCGCTTCAATGTGCCTTCTCCAGGTAAGCCGCCTGTTTAAGTGGATGCCCAGGTAGGTGACTTCGTTGACTTGGGGGGATTTGTTTGTTGTTTAGGGACAGTAGTGGGCAGGTTTCCCGATTAAGTGTAAACGTAATGTGCTTACACTTTTGATCGTTGACTTGTATGCGTCAATCTGCAAACCATTTTTCCACGTCGGTCAGATGGTTTTTTAAGTGAGCTGTTGCTGTTTTTGGATATTTTGAGCGACTGATTATAGCTGTGTCATCAGCAAAGGTGGATAGAACTGTTTGACTGCTTGTAGGAATATCAGCCGTGTACAGGACATACAAGATCGGTCCGAGCACACTTCCTTGGGGTACTCCAGCCTTGATTTTGTGGTTTTCAGAGAAGAAATTTTTGCATCTTACAGTAAAAACTCTATCTTTGAGGTAAGATTCAAGCAACTTATGGGTGTTTTGTGGCAAGACGGTCTTGATTTTGTAAACTAGACCTTCAATCCAAACGCGATCGAAGGCTTGAGACACGTCCAGGAATATGGCACTGCAGTATTCCCTGTATTCAAAAGCTATGCGTATTTCAGCTGTTATGCGATTTACCTGTTCGATAGTTCCGTGCTTTTCCCTAAAGCCGAATTGATGCAGGGGAATCGCTCTGTTGTTTTGGAGGTGTGTTCTTAGGTGGCATGAAAGCAGCTTTTTAAATAGCTTTGATAAGCACGGAAGGAGGCTAATGGGCCTGTATGACGAAGGTTGGGATTTGCCTGGTTTCGGTATCATTGTGATAACGGACTTTTTCCATTGCAGAGGAAAATAGCCCCATTTGAGAATTGAGTTGAATATGGTGGTGATGAATTTAACTGCACATTCTGGCAGTTCAATTATCATTTTAGGCGAAATTAAATCATGGCCGGGGGCTTTTTTTGGATTCATCTGTTCTGCAATGGCTTTTGTGACTGTACTTGTTTCAAGAATGATTGTGGAGGAAGGCTCTGCTGGTGGGATGTTTGGCAGAGTAAATTGATTCGCCGGCGGATGAGGTTGGAAGACGTTTTGTAAGTGAGAGGCGAAGATGTTGGCCTTATCCTCGTCATTACGCGCCCATACACCTGATGGTGATATGGTGGTTGAATGTTTGGGTGCGCTCTCCAGAGTGGAAATTTGTTGCTAGTGGGTGAGAGCTTTGCTATATACGCACGTTGAGCCTGATTCTTCACAGTTATTAAAGCTTTAGATAGCTTCCGACAGGCCTCTTTAAAGCTTTGTTTAGTGGCTGGGGATCGGTGTGTCTGCTAGTTTCGGCGAAGTCTACGCTTTTCTTGAAGGAGCGATTGGATCTGCATGTTTGTGCGCAAAGTATTTGGGAGGGATGTAGCTAAAGGTTCAATGTCAGCTTCACACGAGATATAGGGTTCTATTTCAATGTGAGAGCTGATATATTTTTTATACTTTAGCCAGTTTGTTGTATTGGAAGTCAGAAACTGTGGTCGCTTTACAAGCTGTGGGTGTTCAAATAGACAGAGAAGAACAGGCGAATGGTCAGATGACAGTTCAGCCAGTGTTTCAACGCGTATCAGCCTGGGCGGCACTCTCCTAGTTACGGCAAAATCGATAATGTCTGGTTGTTTATTCGGATCTGCTGGCCAGTATGTGGGCCTACCCGGTGAAACAAAATCTAGCTTATTACTAGGTTTGATAATAGCATTGTATAGTTGTCGTCCTTTGGGGTTAATAAGACGAGAGCCCCAGTAGTGGTGTTTTGCATTATAGTCACCGGCAGCTACAAAGCAGTTACCTAGTGAGTTGTAGAAGCCCAAAAATTCATTTTCTGGAATATTGAATCGTGGGGGACAATACACAGCTGATAGTGTGAGTGGACCGCTGGTTATATTGATACGTATGGATGTGGCCTGCAAGTAGTTAGTAGCAAATGCGTCCTAAGGATGATGCTTTATGCGCTGTTTGACGAGAATGCCGGTGCCTCCATGCGCTTTGCCATCTGGATGGTTGGTCGCGTGAAATACATAGCCGGTGTGATAAAAATAGTTTTTATTGGTTAGATGTGTTTCCGAGAGAAGCATGATATCGATATCATGGTTGTTTAGGAACTGAAGGAGTTCGTATTTGTGTTGGGAAACGCCGTTGGCGTTCCAGAAGCATATTTTTAAGGGATTCATTTAGATTGTTTAATCAAAAGCTCCAAAAGAAGATTTTGGTTTCGCGTTAGGTCTTGCAGGGTACTTTGTATCGATAGCATAATAATTTGTAATAATTTGTAAGCGTAGCTAGTGTGTGTTCAAGTCCGCTATGTGCTGGTGGTGGGGGAAGCCAGTTCAATCTTAAATAGCGGCTGAGGGTTTTTGCCCTGTTGATTATATTGGTTACATGTTTAACGTCAAAACCTTGCTCTTTTAGTCCCTCGGCTATGTCAGCTACTGGGACGGTTGATTCTATTCCTTTTACTACAACTTGTAGCCCTTTGCTACTTTTGAGCTGGTAGGTGTAGTAATTTACCGGCACATGGTCGAGGAAATTCGTCACAGTGCGGTAGTTGCTTTCATTTTTTATTTGGAGTTTGGTTTCTGATATATTACCTCTTTTTAGGTTGGTAATGTAAAAGTTATTTGGCCCGATTTTTTGTTTAAGATTGTTAATAAGCTCCGAGAAATTGTGTTCCCTAATGTAGATAGGGGGTGGCTTTACATCTTTGGTGGGTTGAGGCGGTTGACCCTCATCTCCTCCAAGGTCACCAAGTATAGCAAATCTATTTTCAGAAGTTGCCTTGTTGTTGTTGCCTGAGGTTTTCGATACTTTCGGCAGGTTTGCATTAGTTTTTTTTGGGCTAAGCTTTCTTTTTATTTGTACATACCGATCGATCCCGGTCTGTACAAGCGTAGTTTGTGGGAGAGAGGCAGCAGAGACACATTTTAATTGCGATGATAATATCGGCCACAAATTTGCCACCGACGTTGAAGTTGTTGTTGTCGTCGTCGAAACAACAGTTGTAATAGAGGGCACCGTGCTGGTCAGCGCAAGAGCTGACGTAGTCAGTGCAATGAGTGGTGAGAGTGGAGATGGGCATTGGGAGCTCCACGACTGGGCCATGGCAGCGCTGCTTGAGCAGCGGAGTGCTGGTGACAGTGAGCGCGCTCTTTCGGAAGCAGTCAATGACATTGCTTTTGTTGTTGCGTCTTCGTTACTTACTGTCTCCGAAACAATTGCTACATAAGCATTATTCCGGGCAGAAGACAGTCGGCGTTCGTCTTGCTTTTGTTGTTGTTGCTTTCGACTTTGACTCGTGGGTTTACTAGTTGCACTTATTATTGATTTGCCCGCAGGCATTGTATTTTGTTTGAGATTAATTGCCTTCTTCACTTTGATCTGTTAGAAAACTAGGTAATGGAGTTAATATGATTTGGCATTGCTGCCAGCGTCTTTTCGCTACTATTTCAGCTCTTATTTCACTCAAATATCGAGCCAATTGACTCGCTTGGCGGAGCGATCAAGAAACACGTCTGCACGGGCAAAAGTAGAACTTTGCCAGCGGAATGCCACCGAATGAAAACAGCAAAGGCAGGCCCGAAGACTGCGGAACAGGGATGCGATTGGATAACAGAGATGAGAAACAAGGTGGAGCAGAACCCTCAGAAATACCCGGACTACATTCTTGAGGGCGAGGAGATGTATCGCCACATACCCCACAGGGCGGGGAACGAGGACGTGGTCGCGTGGAAGCTATGCATACCCAGAGGATCAAGACAGAAGGTGATAGCAGAAAATCACGATGAACCAACACCCGGTCACTTGGGCAGCAGGAAGACAATAGCAAGCCGAACCAGCAGGCGGCAGGCAAAATGTTGATGCAAATTCCCGAAGAGCCGTGGGCGACAGTATTTGCCGACTTCGTCGGGCCACTGCTGCAGTCAAAACACGGAAATGCGATGCTGCTCGTGCTGGTGGACCGATTCTCGAAGTGGACCGAGTTGGTGCCAATGCGGAAGGCGACCACGGAATCACTACAGAAGGCGATAAGAGAGAGAATCGTCTCGAGGTATGGCGTCCCGAAAATCGTAATCACGGACAACGGGGTGCAATTTACCAGCAAGGCGTTTAAAAGATTTCTGGAAGAATTGGGTGTGCGACACCAATTCACTGAGCCATACACGCCCCAGGAAAACCCGACAGAGAGGGCAAACAGAACAGTAAAGACGATGATCGCCCAGCTCGCGGGGGCCGACCAGAGGACCTGGGACGACAAATGGCCAGAACTTCAGCTGGCGGTGAATACCAGTGTGGCGGAGTCCACCGGGTCGCCAGCGTTCGTCACCCAGGGTCGAGAACCCAGGCTTCCAAAAGCTCTTTTCGACGAGCACACAATCGGGACCGGAAAGGCGACGCAAACACCAAAGGAAAATGCACAGAAACTTTCGGAAATTTTTGAAGTCGTCAGGCGTAACATGAAGAAAACAGCGCAGTATCAGGCACGACACTATAACCTGCGGAGGAGGCCATGGACGCCGAGGATTGGCGACAAGGTCTGGGCCAAAGAGCACATCCTGTCCAAAGCAGTGGACGGCTTCGCGGCGAAATTGGCCCCAGATATGACGGGCCGTTCACAATCACTAATTTTATTTCCCCGGTAATTTGTAATTTACGGCACAGCCAGAATGGCAAAGAAAAGAGGGCTCACGTTAGCGAGCTGAAGCCGAGTACAACCGAAGGAAAAAAATAGTGGTGACCGTCATACTGGGGGCGCACTGTACGTGTGTTTCGCGAGAAAGGGAGAGGACGATACGGAGTATCGAAATTGCCACCCACACACATGTAAAAAATTGGAGCGCGAGCGCCAGGAGCGCAAGAAGCGGGTCAGAGGAGGGTACTTCGGAGCGCGAAAGTGGGTTAGAGGAGGGTATATACAAGAGCCGTGGGGGAAAAAAATCGGCCGGAGATCAGTAGCAGCAGCAGCAGCAACCAGCAGCAAACGCAACAGGAGTGACAACAGCGGCATCAGAAGCAACAACAACCGCAGCGGCACCAACAACAGCGGCATCAGCAGCAGCACAATAGCAGCAGCGGCAACAATTGACGCCGGAGCGGAAGGCCGTGGCCAGCGGAACAGCCAGGGGCGAAGTGGGGGCTTCGGCGCCAGCTACTGGCGTCCCCGCTGGTGTCGCGGTCCCCGTCGCCGGTCTGGCATGCGCTGCAAATGGAGAAGGGGAGGTCAGCTGCCCAAGAGAGACGCCTGCTGGGACGCGCTGGGCCAGGGCTGGCGCCCCGGCGCATGAACATCAGGAAGGCAACAACGGCTCGACCATGCTGGAAGACGAAAACAAAAGGGTAAAACACAAAGTAGGGGTAATGTAAATGTATTTACTTACCAAAACAAACAAACGAGGCCAGCGAAAATTGGGAATGGGGTCGCCTCGATAACGGCGCACAGTAGGCCGGATTGCCAAATAAGCGGCATAAAATCGAAAATTGTATATATCGAGCTGAATCTTGGCATATTTTAAGAATACACCACTATAAATGTTTAAGCAATATTTTAAGTAAGTTTGACCACGCCTACCTTAACTGCCCATGGAAGACAACATAACGTATACGTGATCTGAAGTTAGATTTCTTTTTTTATACCTACGTTAATTATTTTCTTACATATTATACTGATTTGTATTATCTATAATAAAGATGGATTTCATTTTTGCTTAAATAGGAATAAAATTATATATATTAAGATTTTATGCTTAGAATCTTTCTTTTTGCTTCACTTGCCTGTTTTTCTGACGTACAAGAATTTTGAAGTAGAAATGCAGTATTGTTTTCATTCGATTTTCTGGCTGACATTGTGGCTGCGTGAATCAAAAGTTTGGTATCATTGTCATTTGTAACTGCCACATCACTAGCAAGTTTTCTTTTAAGGCGCGTTCCTCCTTCCTCATAAGCTAGCTTTGGTCTCCTTGCTACAACCCTATTCAAAATTAACCATTTCCGATGGTCGAAAATTTGACCCCTGTTCATGTCAGATTTTTCCAAGTTTCCGATAGTTTTCAATATAGTGACCCAAAACTGGACTTCCAGAACCCATAACTTTGTCAATTTCACTCTGATTCCAAAGTGGCATACCTCGAAACGGTTCTAGTCGCATCCTTGGTACAACCCCATTCAAAATTTTCCATTTTCCGATGGTCAAAAATTTGACCCCTATTTATGTCAGATTTTTCCAAGTGTTCGATAGTTTTCAATATAGTGACCCAAAACTGGACTTCCAAAACCCATAACTTTGTAAATTTCACTCTGATTTCAAAGTGGCATACATCCAAACGGTTGTAATCGCATCCTTGCTACAACCCTATTCAAAATTAACCATTTCCGATGGTCGAAAATTTGACCCCTGTTCATGTCAGATTTTTCCAAGTTTCCGATAGTTTTCAATATAGTGACTCAAAACTGGACTTCCAGAACCCATAACTTTGTCAATTTCACTCTGATTTCAAAGTGGCATACATCCAAACGGTTGTTATCGCATCCTTGGTACAACCCCAATCAAAATTTTGCATTTTCCGATGGTCGAAACTTCGACCCCTGTTCATGTCACATTTTTCCAAGTGTCCGATAGTTTTCAATATAGTGACCCAAAACTGGACTTCCAGAACCCATAACTTTGTCAATTTCACTCTGATTCCAAAGTGGCATACCTCGAAAAGTTTCTAATCGCATCCTTGGTACAACCCCAATCAAAATTTTGCATTTTCCGATGGTCGAAATTTCGACCCCTGTTCATGTCAGATTTTTCCAAGTGTCCGATAGTTTTCAATATAGTGACCCAAAACTGGACTTCCAGAACCCATAACTTTGTCAATTTTACTTTGATTTGAGAACCCATCAAACAATTTGAGCGTTTTCTGACAGTTTTCTGATAGTTTTCTGATAGTTTTTTATGAGCATTTTTTATCATAAAGTGCGCAAAAAAGAGTCCGGAAAGAGCATATTTTTCCGTGAAAACGGTCGTACTTTAAGAGGTCAATTTCTGAGTCTAATATGACTCTTTTTTGACACAAAAATAAGTGCTTTCACCTTTCTAATCAAGCATTGAAAACGCACAGAAAATGCTCAAAAAAGTATCATTTTTAGGCACTTAATTCGCCATGAAAAAGGTTCATTTCGGACTCTTAATTGAAACATTTTTTTGGTATAATTTAATCAATAAAATTCAGATTTTATATTTGCTTTTTATTTTTTTCAAAAAGTATACAGAAAATTGGAAATATCTTAAAAATTAATTCAAAAAATTGTATGTATATTTGTACTATTATATCAAAAATATCGGTTTTTCATCCACGGCAAATTTTTAATTAAAAGCACCTTAAAAGAGTAATAAAAACGCTATTTTAAAAACATAAGAAAAACATTTTGGTAAAGGATGGAAAAATGGATTAAAGTCAAATATTTTAAGTGCAACAATTATTACTTCTTACGGCTGATTTGATCTCAAGGTCTTCTAAAGGTTCATACAGTTATCCATAATTTTCTATAAAATGTTGCTCCAAAATATGTCCTGAATCCAATAGGGGTTCATTGAATACGTCCAGCTCTGATGGCAGAGTCTCCTCACAGCGTCGATTCTTTGCCTTCAGCGCATTAATTATATTTTTATAAGCACTTTTTTTATTTAATTTTAAACAATTTGTAACACTTTTTTAACACGTCCAACTTACACTTCTTCAATGTTCAAACTAAATAAAATTTTCAATTTTAGAACATTTTGCGATAAGCGATCTGCACACCGTTATTTTAAGCGAGGTTTTTACTTTGTACTTACTTACCGCAGCTCCGAATTTGCTCACACGTAAGAGCTCTTTTTGAGCCTATGTGTTGCTCCATCGAAATTTGCTCAGAAAATGGTTTTATTTATGTGCCTACTCAGAAAACACTCTTAAAATCGGATCTTTTCGGACACATAATTTAGAGCCCTCCTAACTTTGCTTGCTGGGAACAAGCAAGTGCGTATGTATGCTTACTTGAGCGAGAAGACGATTTTTAGCCGAAATCATTTCTGTGCCAAAACGAATTCATTTACAGCAGTAGAAAAAAGGGTGAGAGGTGTGAGTGTCAGAAGAAATTCTAATTGAACATACAGATATGTTTATACTTGTAACTAAATTGAACATTTTTGGAACTATACATTAATCGATCCTCATTCATCTATAAGAAAATAATAGATACAAAAATCCATGCTTCGATTTAAAAGTGGAATACCTCTCTGAATTTGTTATTAAAATATCTATCTAGCTGCATCATTGGTTTATTTTCGAATTTTTGGTCAATATTTTGTTATTTTTTATGACCCCCGACCTGTCAAAATTTGCAAAAAATGGGTTTGCAGAAAAGTGACCAGATCCCACCACTGCTTAGCCCATCACTTTTGAAATTTTTACCTGATTTTAAAGTGGAATACCTCTCTGAATTTGTTATTAGAATATCTATCTAGCTGCATCATTGGTTTATTTTCGAATTTTTGGTCAATATTTTGTAATTTTTTATGACCCCCGACCTGTCAAAATTTGCAAAAAATGGGTTTGCAGAAAAGTGACCAGATCCCAGCACTGCTTAGCCCATAACTTTTGAAATGTTTACCCGATTTAAAAGTGTAATACCTCTCTGAATTTGTTATTAAAATATCTATCTAGCTGCATCATTGGTTTATTTTCGAATTTTTGGTCAATATTTTGTAATTTTTTATGACCCCCGACCTGTCAAAATTTTCAAAAAATGGGTTTGCAGAAAAGTGACCAGATCCCAGCACTGCTTATCCCATCACTTTTGAAATTTTTACCCGATTTAAAAGTGGAATACCTCTCTGAATTTGTTATTAAAATATCTATCTAGCTGCATCATTGGTTTATTTTTGAATTTTTGGTCAATATTTTGTAATTCTTATGACCCCCGACCTGTCAAAATTTGCAAAAAATGGGTTTGCAGAAAAGTGACCAGATCCCAGCACTGCTTAGCCCAAACTTTTGAAATTTTTACCCGATTTAAAAGTG